TAAATTAATAAATTAAGTACCAAATAATTAATTTGTATTTTAATTATTAAGGTATCTCTCCGATCCCTTTAGACATTTACATATCTAATTATATTATAGGATTATTAAATTTAACTTTGTTAAATAGATTGATTAGATCACTTATAATATTATTATATTATTACATACCCAAAAATAAAATATAACATATATTTAACCATACAATTTAATCTAGTAATTTCATGTGTATAATAATTTAATATACATAGGATTTTACTTTTTTATATAAATCTAAAAAAATGTATATAATTGTACTATTAATAAATGAGTTCAAAAGAATTTAGAAGTCCTTATAAAAGAGTTCAAAATAAATTGAAAGTCAAATAAGAGTAAAAAAATAAAAAATATATGAAAGTATATACGTAGGTATAATTGATTTTATCATAATAATTAAGAGTAAAATAGGAAATCAAAATTTTTTTGCAGATGCTGACATTTATAAGTAGTATATATATATATACTTTCACTTAATGATGGATCATTTATTATGTATGGATGAAGAACTATTTATAAATAGTGAGTTCTACTTTAATTTATGATAAATAATCTTTCATTAAATCAAATTAAGTGAAATATATAAAAAAAAAAGTAATATTATTTGGACTCTAAAAGTTGACACTATTTGCTGACTTCATCAATCACGGTTATTTATTTAACGGTGAATCTCAGTATTTATTGAGACTTAATACTTATTCAATAGTTGTGATCAACGAAGTCGACAAATAGTGGATGACATATTTTTGACTGGATCGAGAAAAGAATTAGTTGAGATATACGTACATTGGCCCGAATACTCTTGACCGTTGAACTAAAAAAATAAATGAAGACAACAGGCATTTTTATTAGTATAATATTAGTTAACTAGATTTATAATGTCATAATCACATTATTTTTGGATTTGTGTCAAAAAAAAAACATTTGCAAAGGCAATATATATTTTGCATAATTTTTTTAAAGCACTAATTATTATTTTTTATTCTATAGAATACAATAATATTTAGTAGTTATCACATTTTTTTTTTCGGAGGGAAAATTTCATAATCTGTCATCAGCAAGTAGAAATGCGTTTATGTCGCTCATGTTCGTAACTCTGAGTAGAATTAAGGACAAAGCCCGAGGTATAAACCAGTCCCTCAACTCATACATTATTTAAATTAGGACAAAGCCCGAGGTATAAACCAGTCCCTCAACTCATACATTATTTAAATTAGGACTTGCGTTTCGTTAGAGACTCAATACTCATACCAGATACTTAAATACGATTCGTCCAAACAATTGAAATCTTATCCTACCAATCAGTTGCACTATTACACCCAATGGACTTCGAACCCCTCACCACCCACTAAGAAGCCAGAAAACTCTGACCATGTGAGCTACCCCATTTGGTTATTTATCACATCTTTCAACCAATTAAAACGCGAAAATTTAAAGCCCATTTAGAAGGACTGTGGTCCTACTCATTGATTAAAATACTCTATTTCTTGTACTATGATATGATTACTTGTTCAAGTTATCCGCCCTTATATCATCACTTTTAAAAGTGTCTAACTCAACTTAAATACACTTAGATTAATTCTCTCGTAGTCTAAACAAAAATAAACCATCAATTTCAAAACTAAAGAATTTAGAAGTAAATCAAAGACTCACCATGATTCAAACCGAAGAAGTTTATTTTGACAATTCGTCCTAGCTCTTTTAAGTTAACTTTGAGGTTTTTCAACTAAAAACATCTTTATATCACTAGCTAAATCTTTATTTTTAGCTAATTTGATGAGACTTGCTCAAAAAAATTATTTCAATCGACTCCTCATCTTGCTAGTTAAAACTTAAGAGATCCTTGTTGCTCGTCAAATCTAGAGAGGAGAAAAAACTCACCAGACTGTTCGCCTCTATCTTCATTGTCTTCTCCAAGGGATTGGTCCAAATAATCTTCTTCATCTCCCACCTCCAAGTTGCAAATCCCCTATCCCAATTTCAAAACCTATCTCCCCCAAACCCATTCTAAAAACACCCCCTTCCTCCAATTCTAAAAAACCCCATTCTCTTGAACTCAAATTCTGAAAACCTGCTCCCCAAGTTTTGAAAATCTCCTTATATAATGAAATATTTAATTTTAGACCCTATGAAATATTAATGCAAGTATTTGTGAAAATTTTAAATTATATTATTAGGCTACATGTTATTTTTAATTATATGATTAAAAGTTAGTTAAAATTAATTATAGTAGTTAATTAAAATAGAGAACATGGTTAAAATAATTTTGAAAAAATAACTAACTAAAATAAAAAATATAATATTTAAATATATTTTGACTAATCATTTTACTAGAAAGTACCTTAGGTGAAAAACGTGGAAGCAACAAAAAGTACTTTTCGAAACCCACATACTTTGAACAAAAATTGGGGTGAACCACAAGCTTTCATCTGAAATGCCAAGCCATGTATGTGGCTTTGTTTCAGAGTGGCTGCCAGGGAAAGCAACAAAATGAGATTCATATGATATTTACAATCATATATAAATAAATTTCCTCCTCATTAATAATGAATAATTCGTTAAAAAAATAATATTATAATAAATCCCAATTCGATAAGCAACCAACATGAAAAGTGGTCATAACTTAACCCTTATGAGTTTAAATTTTGATAATTTCTTAGGGTCACTACAAAAAATTTATCCCTTATGAATACTTTAATCTCAACGTAAATGACTTGTCTTGATTAGATCAAGAAAGAGATTAATCAAAATATACATAAATTAAAAAAAAAAGTCCAAACTCCATAAATTTCACATGTCCAACATATTTGAACTAGATCGTTAGGATTTGGCATTTACCCCAAATGTGGTTTGCACTAGGGAGTCAATGGAACATTGCTTTGAGACCTTTCTTTTGTTAGGTAAAACTCCAAAGTGCATGTGATTTTGCTTGCTCTCGTGTATCACACGATTTAATGAAGGGAAATAGGCAAGCAACCTAAACGTCGCAAACCTTTGCACGTATCCATAGAGCTATAATCCCTTATCTCCTATCCAAATCTTCTTCTTTCTACTTTCTTTACCTCCTTTTCGAATAATAAATCACTCGTCGCATATTGATTAAAAAAAACCAACTTACATATGATTAATTAGACTTGGATCGGTAGCCAATCCTCTAATATGTATGAGAATTGAGAAATATAAGAGTGCCATTTCTTGTTGTTTGACTTGATGGGAAATTTTGGTTTTTAAAAAATGGAGTGTCCCTCAAAAGTCCAATAAGAAGGACAGGGAGGAATGTGGGTCAGAACAGCTACCAACCTTCAAGAGCTGACAATTAGGTTAAGAAATTGAGCTTCTGCATCCTTGTTTTATCTCATTAGTAATGACCATCAATAGGGTATGTAGCTAACTTCCTTCTTAGGTGTAGGAGGGATAAAAAAGAAGATTCGACTTGGTCCATAACATACAAGAAACCTTAAAAGTCTTCGTGACACTACCAAAACAGGAAAAAAAGTAAATGTATGTCACAATAACTTGGCGAATGCACCAATATGAATGAGAATTGAAAATTTTATATTGAAATTGTCCAACTTTACCAAAAAAAAAAAAAATGTCACATCTATAGCCGTTAAATTAGTGAGTCTCATCATTGATCTAACTTCTGTAAATGACTAAATACACATTTTGATGCACATAATTTTATTCTTTAAAACTGGGGTCTCCCTCAAAAGTCCAATGAGATGGACCTGCAAACCAGTTTGCAAAAATTGGAAACTAAACTGTTGGATCTTGTGCACTTGCCTGTGGAGGATCCAAAAGAAGAGGGAATGCCAGAAATGCTTAAAAAGATTGGGCTTTTTCAATCCTTTTTGGTCTGAAATATGAATTAAAACCTAAGCTAAATTAATACCCAATACACAAGACTCCTGCTATCGCAGAGTTCGAAGAGAGTTATATGTACGCAACCTCATCTCTATAAACAGAGAGACTGTTTCCACGATTCAAACCCGTGATCTTCATATCACAATAAAACAACCTTGCCGTTATACTAAAGCCCGCCCTATTGGAATATTGCCACTTTTAATACCACTGCTATCAATCTGAGTGACAAACTCATTCACATCTTTTTCTGCTTCAGATGATATCCATAATCAATGTGATGTAATGTTAGTAAAGGTGTTCCTCAATGCCTGTGCTAAAGCGACTTCTAAAGGTCCTAGAATAACGAAGGGAGAAGAACCACATCACGGGTTTCTACTTGCAATCGAACAAACACGCATGTTTTAGACCTGTTTTCGGTTAACATAAACAGCGTCTGTTATGAAATTAGTTACCAAGATATCAACTTTACCGGCATCTTATATCAATAATTACGTTGTGTAGACGTGTTAAATATACACCCACGAAGCGAATTTGTAAAAAATGACTGATCAATATGAAACATACCTTTAATTCCAGAATCGGGCAACCACTAATGCCCCGTTGCTGCTTGGATTCAGCTAGTTAATAAGAGCACATCCAATTGGACACCATTTTTGGTATATTATTCAATCAGATGAGATTAATATCACGGCAGCAAATATATAATTTAGCCAACAAAATCTTGCAAAAGTTGCCCACCCATGATCTCCCTCCCAAATTGTCGATTTTGTGCTTCGAAACCACCAATTACATATGTTTCACCATTTGCATCTACACCAAAACGACGAGCTGCATTCAATGGAAAGGGCTCTGACAATGTGACTCCATTATTCTGGTGGAGGCCCAAAGTTAAGGAAACACCACCACTTCCACCAGCTGTGCTCATACCAACTCCAACATGAGGACGGCGTGACAAATTCTCGTATGACAAATTCATTGGCTCCTCACTCCCCAAGGCAATATCAGGAAACCTATTTCTAGTCCGTGTAGACGTGAAATCTAGAATTCGTTGGGATGATGCAGAAGGGTTTTCAGATGCAAGAGGGTTGGTTACAGGGAAATGATCACTTGGCCTATTGGTATTTTGTTCCTCCCTTTGTGAAGATTTTTGGGCTTGCCGTGTCTCTAGGTTATGTATTTCTTCCACCATAGGCTTCCAAAGTCTGACTCTTGCATTAATGAACCAGTTAGATACCTGGTACACGTGAAAATGTAGAATATAAATTGAATCCAATTTGAATAATAGTGAATGTATATATATACTGAAACACCATTATCATTGTATTTAACATAAAAAAACTCGGCATTCTATGAGGAGTTGCAGACCTGATTCCGTGTGAGACCTGTCTGCTTAGCCAACATTAGCTTGTCCGTGTCAGTAGGATATCTGCAAAATTAACACAATACAAAATTGGAGCATTCAGAAACATGTAGAAACCCTTATGAATGAAAAAACAGACGAGACACAGATCACAGTTTCTACCAAGTACGATAAGCTACCGTGTCACACACATGATGTGCATGCTAATTGAAGTAATAAAATCACTTACGGGTGCAGAAAGTGTTCAAACAACCATGCCCTGAGCACACTTACAGCACGCTCAGGAAGTCCTCTTTGGGGTCGCCAAACAGGTTGATGTTGCATAAATCCCGAGTTGTGAACTTGTCTTTGCCCATAAAATCCTCCATCAGGGTTCCCAAATCTTGGAGTTTCATCCTTCCCATAATTTATATGACGAGATTTGGTTGTGAACTGCAGCTGGTCAGTGATCGCATTCTTCAAACACCGGAAGTGTTTGGACAAAGTTTTGAAGGCCAAGTTTGCGAATGGAGCTGCATTGCTGAGCCCCGCAACAGCTTCAAATGATGCTACAACTGCCTGCATCTGTTCATAGTACTGCTTGTACCTCCTAAAAACCTGAAGGAGATAAATAGATCACTGGTTATTGCAGATGCTAAACTCATCACTTTAATTGAGAGGTTACATTTTATAATAATCTAAAATGATACTGGCAAAAGCATTGAACTGAATCAATCACAAATTGTAAAACTGGCCTGCAACATACTTGTGAAGCGATCACAATCAATTTAAAAAAGCTGAGACTGTTACCAGCCAACAAAACATACATCACAATCCAAATTTTCTTTCTTTATGACGAACTAAACATGCAATTATTACAGACATCAGACAAAAACAACAGGAATCATGTTAGAACAACAACTCCACCCAAAAGCTAAATTTCCTTAAAAGTAGGACACATCCAAAAAACTAGAGCAACACGACCTTAATGTTTAACCAAGGTTTTAAAACAAAGTAAGTAAGGTCAAGAAAGGTTCACATTATATATGTACACAAAAATCTAATACCCGCTAGCTACAATAAGTCATCAATTTGTCAACAAGCCACCATAATATGTAGCAACCGTTATGACATAAAAAAAGGATGGGGGAAAGGCTCATTTGAACTACTTGAGTTGGCTGCATGAATTATCTTCTTACTGGTGCACAAATTCAAAGCTCCAATATGAAAAAGGAAAGAATATTTGACAAGGTACGAAAGAGCCATCTTCATACATCAATCCAGAGAGGCATAAGTTATCTTAGACGAAGCCATTACAATAGCATCAACACAAACAACATAAGAATTGCATATTTATTTTTATTGCACATGGAAATGTCACTCTATTAACAACATACCAAATTTGAGAGGGTTGTATTGCTGGAGCGTTTAATTTGATGTGCCCTATTTAAGTAGAAATTTCACATAACAAACTTGTTTAAAGTTCAAGGCTATACTTTCCTATAGGGACGTCTGTCAACAATGGAGCATGACATAAATTGGTAAAATGTTACTAATCCAGGACACAAACAATTGAGGTTTTGCAATTCACAGGTAGGAACATATTTCTTTTTAGCATTTGCTATAATAAAAGAGGACCCATCAATGATGTACTATCCCATTGTAATTTCGGGTCCATAACTTTATTATGGTGTTTGCTCGAGCAATCAATGCAGATCAACCACAACAGCAAAACTTTAAGGGAAGATATGATTGATTAGTTTTCTTGTCTCCAGCAACTATTTGGAACAAAAAGGCCCACCTTGTAAATAATTGACTTCTATGCCATCTGAATTTATTGCACGAACTCATGTTGTGGCCAAGAAAAGTAAGCCAAAAACACAGCTTGATACCAAACAATGTCACAGTCCAATTTCGTGCAATTAACACACACTTTAAGCATAACCCTGATCAATAAAAGAAATAATTTAAAAAATCATGGATTTCATTCCATCACACTTTTGTTAGCAAAGAATTCCCATGAAGTTCCATCTAACACACAAGAGGTCCCTACTTCATTTAGATTCATGACTGAGAGATGATAGTACAAGAGGGACAATGTGATAGTCAACTTTTCTCTCCCTTGCCAAGTGTTTCGTAAGAACTGTTGCTCAATGCAAACCCAATTAAGGGAAAAAAAAAATTGGCATGCCTCACAAATTCGCCCTTAACACCTTTTTTCATCTGGACCATCTCAACACATTCTTGAAATACATGCAATATAGTTATAACAAAACATTATCAGCATTGGCAACATTATTCAATCTTCTTTTGGCACTGCATACAATCAAAATTAAACATCAGAGAGAGACTCGTTCTTCTTTTCTATTTTTTTTCAAAAACGTCTTGGTACATGCATGAGGGTATTTAGATTCATAATGGATACTGATCATAAAAGAAATTTCATGATGGGTTGTCTAAAGCATCAGTGCATCTCAATGATTAACAACTATACCTTGAAGCATAGACAAAACGTAACTATGCACCTATTATTAATATACAGACCAAATAAGTAGATTCAATTTCCTCCAGTAGGCATACCATTTTTTTCAGAAAAAATAAGTCATTCTACAAATCTTTTATCAAGCTCTTTTTAAACAGCTTGATATGTGCTTTATAAGCATCATTATTCTGAACCAGTTCAGTGGCAAACAGCAGATTTTTCAACTAGAAAATTGAGGGTTTTGCTGTACATTTTCTCTCTCTTAATGCTTCAGTGATTTCAAATTTTCTATATCATTTGAAGTTCAATATGGGCATAATGTAGAATATCAAAGATACCAAGTGACACAGCCCACAATAACATTCGTAAGTAATGGCCTACATGAAATTTTCAAGCTCATAATAGGAAGGCAAAATTAAGAAACATATGGGGGAATTATCTTCTCAAGCACTATGCTTTACCTAGTAGGTAAATCCCAAAGTCCTCCTTTTAAAGGGAAAAAAAAAAAAAGGAAGAAAAGGCCATCTTCATTAGGCTTTGGAATACCATTATTCCTTTCATGCACACTTTTTTCAAGCATACATCAATTCAAATGGATTCCTTCAATCACTTTATGCACATTACACCCCAAACTAAGTGACACAGTCACCTGTTAGAACTCTTTCTAATGTTGTCAGGCACTTTATGGCACCAATCTCTGTGCATATATTCCCTCCTATCACCCTTTTCCAAAAAAGATGATTTTGTGATATTTAACACCATCTATACCTAAAACACAAGCATCTAGCCACATAATATATCTTTAATCAATAAACTTCAGAAAAAAACTTCACAAATCACCAAAGTTGAATGCTTTTTTGTTACTCATTAGACATTGTAACTAGACGCTTTCTAATCGTAACTTGATGAGCCAAAACCACAAATTGCATGCTGTTAACTCTAAAAACAATCCAAATTCAAAAAGAATCACCCCTCTAATTTATTGCATACTGCCTGTACAGTGAAAAACAATTAGGATTCATAAGGACCTAGCTTTCTGGGTTTGAAGTGAAAAGAATGACAACAGCTTGACAAGAATTAAGACAACTACACGGCACAACACTGCAAAAAGACAAAAACAAATGGAAAACTCAAATCATAGCAAACTCAAAAGCAATAAAAGCCATGTTCTTTGTTTGAAGATCAAATAGTTGAATCAAGGCTTAACTACATGAACACCAATTCATCAAAAATGCAAATGACAAGAACATGTAATAATTGAATCAATTGATCATTAAAGCTTACCTCATCAAGCATCGAAATTAGCCTCGACTTCTTCCTCTGGTGCTCTCCTCCGTCGCCGGAACTGAGCTGATCATCCACAATTCCACTTCCACTCCAACTCTCCAATGGAGGATCCAACAAGGCTGAATCCGCAGTGATTTTCTCAGCGTAAATTCCCCGACCCAAGTCACAAAATTCTTCCAACAAATGCTGTGCAGGCTTCAAGAACTTCGATCCCTTCAAAATTAAAGCATAACCAGTAAAAGGGCCGAGAGGAACCGAACTCCTTGATAAATTATTGGACGATGAACCACTACCACCACCAACAATGCCTGGAACAACATACCCACCAGTGACCTTATCATGAAACGTTGAGGAGTCATATCTTTGTAGATTCAGTTCCAGAGGAAGATTGCTTTGTTGGGTGTGATGAGAAGATAAAGACAAAGACAACCCTTGACCGGTTCTATTAGCCTCATGGGCTAGAGACAATTGTTCTGGTCTGTACACCGCCACTTCACCGCCATGAAAGGACTGATCAAGAACTCTGAAGTTTTGGGGGCTGTAAAAAAAAGGGTTGCCGTTAATATCCTGAATAGAGCTAGGGTTTAGCTGTATAGACGACTGTGGATCCATATACAAGTGGTGTGAAGTGGAAGATGACGAAGAAGAACTGATCATCCCTCCAAAATAACCCATAAAATTCACACCTTCTTCTTTAACACCTCCACCAGATTGGGTTGGGTTTTGGCCTGACTTACAAGTCTCGCCAAGTGGATTATTTTGGTGGTGAAGGTTGGCACCGTTTGTCCAATCCGAGGGGAAAAGTGATGGATCGTAAAGAGGGACTAAACCTGTGCAACCTTGAAGGGTTTCTACGCAACCCGGGTGATTTTGGACGACCACTCTAAGCTTCTCTCTTCTGCTTTGTTGTGGGACATGGTATGGTTCAAAACCGTCCGCCATGACTAAGACTAGCCTATCTCCGTATAGATATACAGAGAGAGAAAGAGGAATAGATGTAGAAACTCAAGAGAGAGAGAGAGAGAAAATAAAAGAAAAAGAAGGAGGAAATAAAACAAAACAGTGAAAGAGATATTGGTGGTGATGAAACGAAAGGCTATTCTGGTCTTCTGAGCTGCAAATATGGCAGACCTGAGCAGATTAGCAGACAAAAGCCAAACACTCCAACGTTGAACAGAGATTAATATGTGAGAATTCACATACGATGAGAGTGTCCATTGCACCCATCTTCACTACTCTCTCACACAATCTTCTTACAGTCAATCTCTCTCTCTCTCTCTTACAATTTGAGGGGTCTCAGTTCTGAGCTTGGGGTCGCGAGAAACCGGACGACGACCGTCTGTTTCCGGTAATAATTGATCTAAACCGTACTATTACAGATTTTTTTTCTGATACTCTTACATTTTCTTTGTCGCTTTTGTGATTTTCTTCACTATAAGTTGGTTAATTATTGCTATTAGAAGAATCTTAGGTACCAAAAAAATTTTTGATACCTTTCCTTCAAATTTTATAATTTTAGTTAATATTTTTAAAGTTTTTATAGGATAATTTATACAAAAAAATTATAATTTTATAAATATTTTTATTTGTTTTGTGATACCTTACCTCAATTATAAGTATTACAAAAATAATAAAAATAGTCATCACAAATATTTTAAGTGATGATACAATATAATTTTTTTTCAAAAGAAACTCTATAGTATCAAAATATTTTTTTTGGTATTATTATTATCGATTATTATTTTTAATGGTAAAATTATAATTTCAAAAAAAAAAGTTACAATCAATTAAGGGAATATTATGATTGATCATAAATTTTTGATATTGGTCCTAATTTTTTATAATTAATTATATCTTTTAAAATTTTATATTTTAAAAAATTATAATTTTTAGTACGATAGAACAGTTTTGGAGTTTTTTCCTTAGGTCGATTTCGAAACAGCAATTGATGGGGTTAATTATAAGATAGCTCTTGTGATGACGCACGTGGGAGCAGAGTGATGACATCCATGGCTGAGCTTGCCCTTCCCTACACTTCATCCGACTAAGACCTTTCTGGCTCCACTTTTTACGAGGTTTATTTTTGTTTAATCTTTTATATTAGACTCCAACTATATATTACTAATACTATATACTTTCACTTTTATATAATAAAAACATGTTATGTTTAAAATTATTTTATTACTTTTTAATTAATAATTATCAAATCATTTAAATTAAAATCGAATATTTATTTTATGCATCAAATTATATTTTTTTATTTTTTCATTTTTTTTTTAAAGGAGGAGAGGGGGGAGGAGGAATTGAACCTTTGACCTAAAAAAGGCAAAGTTTTCACAAGGCAAAGAGTACCATTAGACCAAAGGCTCATTAGTAAAATTTTTACAAGATAAAGAGTACCATTTCACCAAAGGTCCGTTAATAATAAGCAAAATACCTACCTTCTTGTGTAGATAAAGCAATTAAAAAGAAATATCAATTGCTATGTTGAATTAATTGTTAACGAATCGACGTATAAGAAATAAAAGTTCGATAAAATTTACGTTTTTTTAGGGTTTATTGTTGAGAAAATAAATATTTTAAGAGTTATTAACTCTAAGTTCCATGCAAGTTTGAATCTTTGAAGAGAGAGAGTTTTGACTGAGTTATTACAAATGAATTATAAGTGTCTGATTTATAAGTGATTGTGCATAAATTCAAAGTTTATGTTATAATTATGATTTGACTTTAAGACGGTTCTTGATTATATAATATATCTTTCTTTTAACCTAAGTTTGCATTGAAACTATCATTTGTTTATCAAAAACCGAAGAATGATTTCACGTAACTTTAATCACCACCTCTAGACGGATCGAGGAGGTGAAAATTATTGAAATGTTGGGCTGAATTAAGCACAAAACTGTCACCATCAGCGCCATGAGAAGATGTCTTTCAATTTTAAGCAATGCACCATGGGCACGGGAGATGATGTGAGCAAGTTCGAGTCGAGTCTAAAATAATTTATTTTTTTAATTGAGTTTAAAAAATTATTTAAATTCAATTCGTTTAGAAAATGAGTCAAGTTTAAACGAGTCGAGACCAAGTATTGACATATAAACAAGTCAAACTTATCGAATTTGTTTTCTAGATGAAACCTAAATAATTGATCAAGTTTAGCTCGTTTTCTAAACGAATCGAACTTGAACGAACAAAAAACGAGTCAAATCCGAGCTGAATTCGAATGATTTGATTTGATTAACGGTCCTAACGGGTATTATATAACTTTAGAACCTATCTCCATATTATTATTTATTTTTATTTCAACGGTCAAGGATGCTAAATCAGATTACGTGCATTTCAATTAATTTTCTCTCTGATCTGATCAAATGCAAGTCAACAATACCGGAACTAAGGTATTCATGATGGATAATTTTATCATAGTCTGACCTTAAGAATTTATCAAAATTTAAACTCAAAATATCTAAATTTACAATTCATTTACTTTACCACTTGATCTACGTTTTAATATCTTTCTCTATAATATTATCTAGCTGAGAAAGAGGACACAATACTTCAAGTGAATTTGTGGGTGCTAAGTAATTTTGGTGAATTTGAGTAGGTAAAGCTGTTAAAAACTTTATTGCCTTTGTTAACCAAAGTGGGTACTTTTTGGATTGACACTTTTGTGGACGTGTTTTTCACTAGTAGATTTAGACAAGTGTGTTTTTTTTGTCAAAAGCAAAGTTAACTCTTTTTGATACTGTTCCTAATTAAGCACCGATATGTACTACTTTTTTGGAGTGTTATTATGTAGCCAGTGGTGGGTCAATTAAGGATGGTATTAGGTAATCAGTAAGTTTTCTGTACCACGCAAAGGGAAAGTGAATCTTGGAGTCATAGTGACAATATTTCTTGGAGTTGCTTAAATGGATGCCAAAAATAGAACTACATCCCATTAAATAATTATTAGCCGAAGACTTGATGGGGTTTTTTTTTTCTTGCAAACTCTTTCACTTACCATAATATTTTGAATTTGATGTGCGTGATTTGTTAGTAATTATTCTAAAATTTATGTTGTAACAATGAGTCAAAAGAATGTATAATGAAACCGTTTTTTGTTAAAAAAAAAAAATGAAAGAAAGAAGTGTTGAAAATGCGATTAAGGATTAAAATTTTGTTTGAAAACTGCAAATATATTTTTATTTTTAAAGAGATTGAAACGAATAAGTGATTGTATCTAAATTTCTATGCTTTGAATGTTTTAAGATGTTTCGAGGTTATTCTGACATGGTTTAACCAGTATTTGATAATATTTAAAGGTGTTTCGGAATATTTTGATTTATTTTGATCAATAGTCAAGAATGATTTGGTAACAAACTTTTTAAGATTTTCATTCATTTTAAAAATATTTTTAGAACATATTTATAAAGTTTTCATTTTTAAGATGATCAAAATGATGTTCCGAAATAAAAATTTTGTTCCTCAATTGCAATATGAGATGTGCCAAGTCCACCCACTTCATTGAAACCTTTGAATGCATTAGGTACAATTTGTCTTAAAATATTGAAGCAGCGAGGACTGAATCCGTCCCTGTCTAATGAATTTATGAATGCTCTAAAAACGCATGCTGAAAATAATACTTCTTTTGTTAGGTAGATAAAAAAATAAAAGAATAAGAAGTTGAAAAAATAAATAAAATATTATGTTTAATAAAAAAAAAAAAGTGGACAAGTTAGTTTTTCTTTTAAATCATCAAAATTAATCCCTCTAAAATTGAGAGAAAAAGTGAATGGAAAGATTATTACGTGTATTTTTTTTATTTTTTTTCTACAAGATATCATGGATTATGCCGACTATTTTTCTGAGCTCAGCAGTTATTCACCGTGATTTGAGCTGATCTAGAGTATATTTCCAAAAGAATAAGGGTAACTAGTTTTTAAAGAGTGTCGAAAATGATTAAACCTAACACATCTGAATTATCAAAAGACAGCCTTTTCTATTGCACCATCCTAAAGGGTTAATTAATTATGTTTTTTTTTTATTTTTTCACTTTTTTATCGTACAAAACACAAAAAAAAAAATCAATTCTTTCAATTTTTTATTTTTTCTACCAAACACAAATCAAAAAAGGAAAGATTTCTTATTTTTTTCATTCACCTAACTAAACACACAATTGACTTCTTCTTGATAAAATAATTTAATTTATTTTCAATCAATTCCTTAATTAATTGCGTGTTAAGTAAGCTTAGATATTTCAAACCCCACCCACCCGTGACCTCAATCGATCTCATGACATTGCACCAATCAACAAGCTCCAGTACACACTTTTTTTCTTTTGGAAGTTTATGAATGCCTTAGAGAGATTCGAATTTGCATTATTTTATATATCATTATTGCTTAAAAAGTTGTCACCTTCATTCTAATTTTTCCAAATCAGACACTAAAATAATGTTAATGCAAAGAGAGCTGGAGGCACAGGAATAAAATAATACCAAGTTTTGAAAGCCAAATATCAGATGAATAGAAAGAGAAGACATCAGAAAGATATATGCCAACGAATTTTTATATTATAGTATAGGTTAGATGTTTTCGTGAGCAGTAAACAACAGATCTCTATGTCATTTGTTTGGGGCATCCATTTTTTTAAAAAAACATTGGAAGGTTCCAGATCTCTGATTTGAATATTATACTTCTAAACCTTTCATTTACTTATTTATTCAAAATATATGGCTTGAAAAGAATGATATACACATGACATATGCCATTAATTTGTTAAATCACCCTTTGTGCTCCTATGTACCATGAGAAACAAAGGTGTTTTACTAAGGGGAAGGCTTTGCTTGGGAGACCTCCACTATAGTAAAAATAATACTCAAATTTGAGTTTTTCTTTTATATTAATGTTACATTTGATTAAAGTTGATAATTAAATCGAGTTATTTGAATTGGACTCAGGCCCGACTT